ATTTTGAACGCAAATCTTTGCGAAATTCACACTGTATGGGTGCTGAAAAAAGTTTGATTGGCAATTTATTGAAAAGTATTAAATCATATATAAATACATTGTAATTGTATATCATTTCTATAGATGTGGTACTTATTTTACGCATAAAATAATCATGTTAGAAATGAGGTTTCTAAACTTATAATTTTCTATTGAACTCTAAAAGTTATGTATCAAATGTTGAAAGTACTGAATGGATTTTGATTGTGATTAAATAAAACTGAAGTAGTAATTCAGAAAAGAAATTCAACAATTGCAAAAAGATAAAGAATTAGTAGCATACGAATATCAATGCAAATACATGTTTACTATCCATGTAAATAGTCAATACATATAACTCAGAGCGGTTGCATTACAATATCCATCTCTAAGTTAAATGAAATAGCGTCGTAAAATAGCTTTGCTTTTATTTACAGTCCCTGAAACGTTCTACTTTCCCATTTTTCCTTTCCTTCACCATTCGTTCAGCGTGCGTTCACCGTTCGCTCTCCGTTCACAGTTTTTCGTTTACCGTTTACCGTGCGCTCGCGTTCACCGTTCACCGTTCACTCTTCATTCTGTTTACCTTGCGTTCACCGTTCACTTATCGTTCAGTCTTCATTGTCATTCGGAACTCCGATGTGAAAGGACTTATTTTTTTTATAGTAAGGATTTACACGTTTATTAATTTAATAATTTAGATATCGTGTCCGAAGAATGATTATTTCATTGCAAAAATTATCTATGATATTTATATTTCTATTATTATAATTCAGCTGTTACTTTATTCATGAAATTTCCCTGGAAAATAATACCTTAAGTACCTACATGTATGTAGAGCGATGCTAAAATATTAAATTTAAAAAAGGGCTGTTTACAAATGCTTCACGTACGGCAACAATTTGTTGCAAGATTAAAGACGACAATCATTAATGGATGTATAATAATTAATCCAAATCTTTTACAAGACAAGAATACATAAAAAATATATTTCTACAGTAACACGTATTAATATTCTAAACTACACATAGGTCTGAGAATTATGAACAGTACTGCAAATACTCACTTAGTTAAATATCTAGAGAGTTTATTAAATTGATAGCGTGATTTTAAATTTTAGAAAAGACCAACTGTTTAAAATAGTTTATTATTAGAGAAGGAAAATTTCTTTCTTCACCGTGCCTAAATAAATGTTTGCCATTCAGTTTAATTAAGAACCCCCCCCCCCCCCCGCCCCCCGGTGTATTTTCTCCCGAAATAAAAATTCTTAGTATCAAGTATTTTCAGTATTCAACTAATACGTACTTAAGGTGTATTGTACCGCAAGAAAATCAGTCTAAAAAGCAACATCAAGCAGTCATTAAACAATAGTATTTTAATATACACTTGTGCCGACAGTAGTATTTTAAATTGGCAGGGAATATGTTTCAAACTCAATTTAAAACTTAATCCTTCTAAGTATATCTTCCCATTATTTATTTTTTTTCAGCAGGAATGCAAATATCATATCTAGTAATGATAGGGAAAAATATTAAAACTTCTTGGAAATACTAAGTGACTGCCTTCGTCAATTTTGTTCGGTGAAACGTGATTTCCACAATTCCACTGTTTCGAATTATATTGATTGACAGGACAAACACGTTACTTTGTGCACTGTACTTCCTGTGAACTTGATGACAGAAAATAAAAGCTAATTATTACTGTCAAATGGATTTGCTAATCTAAAAAAAAATGACTACCTTTACTGCTTGGAATATTTCGGAAAAATAATAAGAATTTTTATTTAATACAACATATATCTGAGAATTGAGGGGGTCTCTCTCTCTCTTTCTTTCTCTCTCTCGTACATATCTCTGTTCAATAAAAAATATGACAGCACATTACTTAATGAGTTTTGAAAATTTAATCTATTACAAATAATTTTTAATGCCTCTTAATTTCCATCATATTGCCGAGTTTAATCACGGCCGGGAAATGTCTACATATACATGTAGAAGTTAGCTGAAATAATCATCTTAGAAGAATACAAGAGACACATAACAAAGAATATTTTGCATTAAGATTTTAAAAAACGAGAGGTTTTATGCAATACGTCAACAGACAATTGTGAATTCCAAATAAAAAAAAAATCCGTTATTTTACTCAGAACCGCCTTGGCACGGAAATACATGTATGGTTGATTCAACCGCGTACAAAATAATTAATTCATTCTATAAGTAGTAGTTTTATCTTCTAAAGTCCACATTATTCTATTAAAGAAAAGATAAGAATATTTACTATATTTATAAATAGGTTAATTTTATATTTAAACAAAACGCGTTTGGTACATGTAACAAATACACAAGTTTTACGGCAATTAAAATCCTGTTACAGTCCCTGAAACGTTCTACTTTCCCACCTGAACGGTGAACGAACGATGAACGAACGGTGAACGAACGCTGAACGAACGCAGAGCGAACGGTGAGTGAACGATGTGCGAACGGTGAACGCAACTTGGTGAACGATGTGTGAACGGTGAACGGTGAGTGAACGCAGAACGCGAACGGAGCGCGAACGCGAGCGCAAAGTGAACGGTGAACGAACGGTGAACGCAAGAAGAACGATTTATTCGGAATGCCTTTGGTCTTTTCCTTGCATTGAAATTATTCATTTTATTCTATATTTTAAATGTCATAAATAAATATAAATAAACAATAAATAAACAAAAGAGAAATAAATAAATAGATAAATAAATAAATAATAAAAATAAAATTCTCCACATACGTATGTTTAAATCGATATCTTAATAACATTATTTTAATCGCCGTCAAACATGTTTTTGTTACCGCGTGTAGTTGAAAAAAAAAATAATCTTCTATAGTAAATAATTATGATTATTCTTTTAACTAATAAATAAATGTGGACTTTCGAAGATGAAACTACTACTGAGACAAACAATAAATAAATTAATAAATTAATTAATAAATAAATAAATAAATAAAAACATTTTTTCTGCACATACCTATGTTTAAATCGATATTTTAACATGATTTTAATCGCCGTCAAACGTGCATTTGTTACCGCGTGTGGTTAAAAAATATATTAATATACTTTTATAGTAAATAATTATGCTCATTCTTTTCACTTATAAAACAATGTGGACTTCTGAAGATTAAACTACTACTTATAGAATGAATTAAATACATTTTACGGGGTTGAAACAACCGTACATATATTTCCGTGCCAAAGCGAATCTGAGTAAAATAACGGATTTTTTTTTTAATTCATAATTATCTGTTGACATTGACTGTTATCGTACTGCATAAAAATTCTCGTTTTATTTCAATTCTACTGCAAAATACATGTATTCTATATTTATGTGCCTTTTTATTCTTTTATGACGATTATTTTAGCTAACTTCTTCATGCATCTGTAGACATTTCCCGGCCGTGATTATACTCGGTCAAGATGTTGGAAATTATTTATAATACATGCGTAGATTAATCTTTTAAAACTAAATAAGCAATGTGTTGTCATAATTTTTATTGAACAGAGAAATGTACGAGAGAGAGAGAGAGAGAGAGAGAGAGAGAGAGAGAGAGAGAGAGAGATAACCCCCTCGATTCTCAGATATATTATATCAAATAAAAGTTCTTATTATTTTTCCTAAATATACCAAGCAAAAAAGGTAATCTTTTATTTTAGATTAACAAATCAATTTGACAGTAATCATTGGCTTTTAGTTTCCATCATCAAGTTCACACAGTTCACAGGAAGTCCGTGCTACATTTGTAGTAGCGTGCTTGTGCTGTCAATCAAAATAATTCGACACAGTGGAGATGTGGAAATCGCGTTTCACAGAATATGCCGAAGGCAAAGAGTCACTTAGTATTCCACGAAATTTTAATATTTTTCCCTATCATTTCTAGATCTGATTTTTGCATTCCTGCAGAAAAAAAAAATAAATAATGGGAATATATACTTGGAAGGATTAAGTTATAAATTGAATTTGAAACAAAGTCCCTGCGAATCTAAAATACTACTGTCGGCACAGGTTTATACTAAAATACTATTGTTTAATGACTATTTGATGTTGGTTTTAAGACTGGTTTCCTTGTGTAACAATAAAAATTAAATATTAATTGATATTAACTGTAAAAAATAAATAAGAATTTTATTTCGGGAGAAAGGGCACCGGAGAGGGGGGGGGGGTCTTAATTATACTGAATGGCAAAAAAACATATTTTTAAACATATGCGTAGGTACGGTGAAGGAAGGAATTTTCCTTCTTTAATAATAGACTATTTTAAACAGTTTCTAAAATTTAAAACCACACCATTAGTTTAATTATCTCTAAAGATATTTAGTTAACTGAATAATTGTAGTACTGTTCATAATTCTCAAACCTACATGTCGTTTAAATACATGTTACTCTAGAAATGGTTTTTTTTCTTTAGTTTTTTTAATTTATTCTTGTTCTGTAAAAGCCTTCTTAATTACCAGGGTATTATACATCCATTAGTAATTTAACCTCTTTAAAATTGCATCAAATTGATGCCGTGCGTGAAACATTCGTACATATCCCTTTTTTAAAGTTAATATTTTAGCATCGTTCTACATACATGTAGGTACTTAATATATGAATTATTTTCCAGGGAATATTCATGAAATAAGTAACAGCTGAGTTATAATAATAGAATTATAAATATATAGATAATTTTTGCAATGAAATAATTATTCTTCTAACACGATATCTAAGTTTTATCTAAGTTATTTAATTAAAAAAACATGTAAATCCTTACCATCAAAAAGATAAGTCCTTTCACTTCGGAGTTCCGAATGACAGGAAGATCACGTGACATGGACAGAGGTGGACACGTTTTTTACACTGAGATAATTTACGACATTTATTGTGTTCTCACTCCCAGTAACATTACTCTTCGGTTGGGATATTATGTGAATGTGTAAGTACTGTGTTTGTAGTATCGGTTCAGTCGGTTCATATGAATTTTGGGTCGCCTTCTCCCTCTAAACCACCTAAGAAAAAGAAACAAAAGAAACTTGCACAGGGTAAAATGGCGGCCAGTCAGAAAAGTCAGAACAGTAGTGCCGACTTTGAATTACAGCACATCCAACAAGTAGGTAACCTATCGTATCATCAGTTACAACCAATGCAGCCAATGCAACCCATGCAACCCATGCAATCAGTACCTATGACACCTATGCAATCACAATTCCAAAATTTTCAATCGAACACTTCCCCTCAGGCTACCCCTCAGTGGGTTCAAGGAATGTTTTCCCAGTTAGATGTTATGAGTAAAAAACTGGAAAAGTTAGAATCGATTGAGAGTTCCCTGTCAAGTCTGAAAAATGATATAAAAAGTCTAAACACTCGTGTCTTGGAGGTAGAAAAAAGCCAAGAATTTATTTCAAAATCACTGGACACTAACGATAAAAACACTTCAAAAGCACTCAATGATCTTTTTGAATTGAAATCAGCATTAGAAAATTCCATGAAGCAGAACGCTAGACTCACAAATGATATCCTTGACCTTCAATGCAGATCAATGCGAGAAAATTTACTATTCTACGGTGTAGATGAGGCACCAAAAGGGGAGCAAGAAAACTGTGAAGATATTGTTAAGAGAATATGCTCTGCCAATTTAGAACTAGAGGACGACATTCTAATAGAAAGGGCACACAGAATCGGCAGAAGAAACAACGTAAAACCACGCCCGATTGTAGCAAAATTCAACAGATTCCCCCAGCGTGAACTCATCCGCAAAAATGCCTTCAAACTTAAAGGAACACATCTGTCGATCGGTGAACAATTCCCGAAAGAAATCCAAGAACGGAGGAAGGGCCTGTACCCCATTTATAAGAAGGCCAAGGAAGATGAAAAAAAGGCATCCCTTGTTAAAGACAAACTTTACATCGATGGAGAGTTATACATAGATGCTGGATCTGAAACACCGGAGTACGAGTATCCTAAATCAGAGGGGGGTGCAAGAGGATTCAGAAGAGGTGGCAGAGGTGGTAGGGGAAAATAGAGGGGTCAGGAGAGCCAAGATGTATTACGAATCATAGGATGGAATTTACACGGAGGTTTTGACAATAAATGGAAAGATAACAATTTGAGAAATTTTTTGTGTACGTATGACATAATTTGCCTATCTGAATGCTGGATTGAAAAGGATTATAAAATCGACGATCCGAATTTCAAAGCGTTCATTTTTCCTAGGAAAACTAGAACTATGCATGGTGGGGGGACTATTATACTTATAAGAAATGAATATATTCCATACATTACTTTTGTTGAAGCTGTTTATGATACAATTATATGGCTAAAAATAGATAAAGATTTTTGTAATCACGATAATGATATATACATTGCTTTTACATATTTCCCCCCTTACAATTCTGTATTCTTCAAAGAGAATGAAATTAATTTATTTGAGGAATTAGAAAAATTATTAAGCTTTTATATGTTGGTTGGTGATGTTTTTATATTTGGTGACTTCAACAGTAGAACAAAATCTTTGCCTGATTTTATCTTGAATGATGAGTTACATGCATCGGTGAACAACACATTACAATACAGAACTGACGATCAGCTGACTGCGAGGGTCAACCCAGATCTAGGTCACAATGAATACGGAAACCGGTTACTGTCGTTGTGTAAAGCAACAGGTGTGCGTATTGTGAACGGTCGGCATAGTGGTGGACATTCCAACGACTTTACTTTTAATGGTGCTCGTGGTCTTAGTACAATAGATTATTTATTGACCACAACTGACATGTTTGATTCTATTAGTAAATTTATTGTCTGTAACTTTACTACATTTTCAGACCATGCACCTTTACATATCGAATTGAGATGCTCTTTGTCTATGGAATCTTCTGAAAACACTAATTCGCATGTTTATAAAACCCGTAGTATTTATAAATGGGATCCAACATATAGTGAAGCATGCAAAGACTTTTTCAATTCATTAGACGACATGTATATTCATGTGGAATTTAATGGAATTTCTACACAAAATGATCTAGACAATTGTATTGCAAAAATTACTGATATGTTGAATGTTGATGTAGGTAGTTTTTTTCGTGTAAATACTGATCATTACCATAGAACTTCTGGCAAAAGATTAAAACACTCCACTTTCTTAAGTTCAGATGATAAGCCCTGGTTTGATAAAAACTTAAAAGATCTTTATAGAGATTATATTGTAGCTTTACGTACATTCAATAACTGTAAAAATATACAAAATCACTCGGATTTGATTAATAAAAAACGCATTTACAAGAAAGAAGAAACAAAGCTTAAAAGATTGTACAAACAAGCAGAAGGAAATAGGTTAAACATATTGAAGAAAAATAATCCCAAACAATTTTTTGCCAAATTTAATAGAACAAAATCAACTCCAAAAGTATCAATAGAAACTTTTTATGAGCACTTCAAAGATATCACTCAAATTGAAGAAATTGGTAACTGGAATGGTGCAAATGTAGGTGGTGAATGTGTTTTTGAGGAACTAGATAAAGAAATTTGTGAAGATGAAATTAAAAGCGCTATTAGTAATTTAAAGCAAGGGAAATCGCATGGCGAAGATGGGATATTGAATGAATATTTTATTGAATTCCAGGAATACCTACTTCCGTTGTTAAGTAAACTTTTTAACTGTATTTTAGACACAGGTTTTTTCCCGAAAAGTTGGTCATCGTCTGTAATTGTGCCTATTTTCAAAAAAGGTGACAATAAGAACCCAGACAATTATAGGGGTATAAGTCTTGTTAGTAACATGGCTAAATTGTTTACTTCAATATTGAATACTAGATTATTAGAATGGTCGAAAGGTAACGATATAATAACAGATGCACAGTTTGGCTTTAAACCTAATTGCGGTACACGTGAAGCAATATTTGTTCTTCATTCATTGATATCAAACACTTTATCTAAAAATAAAAGACTGTATTGTGCTTTCATTGATTTCAAAAAGGCGTTTGACTCTATTGATAGATCTAAACTGTGGATTAAGTTATCTAAAGTGGGTATCCAAGGTAAATTACTAAAGGTCATAAAAGCTCTGTATAATAATGTGAAATCTTGCATTGTGGTAGAAGGCCAATTGAGTGATTATTTCTGTAACACTATTGGTTTGATGCAGGGAGAAGTGTTATCTCCAATTTTATTTAATCTCTATGTGAATGACTTTGAAATGAGTTTTTTAAAATCTGGCTGTATGTCTTATGATCTAATGTCACTGAACTTATTTTTGTTAATGTATGCAGATGATATGGTCCTTTTTTCTGAAACAATTGAAGGTTTGCAATCACTTTTGAATGAATTGTCTGAATATTGTAAGTGCTGGAATTTATGCGTTAATGTGGACAAATCTAAAGTCTTAATTTTTAGAAATAAGGGCAAAATCAAATCTAATGAAAAATGGTTCATTGGTAAACATGTTTTGGAAATCGTCGAACAATTTACATATCTTGGAATTATTTTTCAATATAATAATAAATTTACAATGGCCGAAAAACAGTTGTCTGACCAGGGTAGAAAAGCATTATTTGTGTTGAAAAAAAATATAAGGGGTTTGTCCCTTAATCATGAAACTCTATTATCGCTTTTTGATTGTTATGTTGGAGGCATTGTAAATTATGCATCAGAAATTTGGGGATCTCATAAAGGTGATAATGTTGAAAAACTACATCTTGATTTTTGTAAACAGATATTAGGAGTTAAGAAATCTACATGTAATGCAGCTGTGTATGCTGAGTTAGGCAGACTTCCTCTGTTGTTCAAAAGGACATTCTCAATGATAAAATTTTGGAGTAATATTTTAGCCAGCGATAACTGTATCATTAGAAATTGTTATGAGAAGATGTATTTTAACTGTGAAATGCATTCACAAAAAAAACTGGGCTTTTCAGGTAAAGAAATGTTTAAATGATCTAGGTTTTAGTGAAGTTTGGGATAAACAACAATTTAATATAGCTACCTTAAAATGTATTAAATATAGGATCTTGGACCAGGCTAAACAAGAAGTATTTGCTAAAATCGAAAGTTCGCAAAAATGCTCTTTTTATAAATATCTACTTGATGGGTTTTATCTTCAGTATTACTTAAAGAAATCTATTCCGGCTAAGTTCCAAAAATGTATATCAAAGTTAAGATTATCATCACACCTATTAGCTATTGAAACTGGTAGATATAATAAAACTAACAAAACGCATAGGAAATGTTTTTCTTGTCATAATTGTGTTGAGGATGAATATCATTTTTTATTGGTATGTCCTGTTTATGAAGATTATCGAAATAAATTTATCAAAAAATATTTCATTAAAAAACCATCCATGTTTAAATTATTACAATTGTTCAACACTGAGAATTATAAGGATATGTGTAATCTTGGTAAATATATTTATTATAGTCTGAGGCGAAGAGGTGATCTTGTAATCCGTTAATTGTATGTTTTTCATTACTTTTTTGTTTGTTTGTTATCTACTACTATCATTTTTGTACGTACACATTGTTCTCCTGTAAATTATCCACTTCTGTACTGAAAATGTTTATATTATTTTGTACTGATGAGCTGTAAAGCTTAAAGTTACAATAAAGAAAGAAAGACAATGAAGACTGAACGATAAGTGAACGGTGAACGCAAGGTGAACGCAAAGTAAATGGAACGAAGAGCGAACGGTGAACGATTTGTGAACGGTGAACGCGAGCGCACGGTGAACGGTGAACGCAATACTGTGAACGAAGAGCGAACGGTGAACGCACGCTGAACGAACGGTGAACGAACGGTGAGCGAACGGAAAAATGGGAAAGTAGAACGTTTCAGGGACTGTATAAAACTATCGATTTAATTCATAGGTGAATATACGGGGTATGTACAGAAAAAAATGTTTTTAATTAATTATTTATTTATTTATCTACTGTGTATTTATATTAAAGCACCTGAAATTAGAATTAAGAATAATTTCAATGCAAGGAAAAGATCGGAGGCATTCCGAATAAATCGTACATCTTGCGTTCACCATTCGTTCACCATTCACTTTGCGCTCGCGTTCGCGCTCCGTTCGCGTTCTGCGTTCACCGTTCACACATCGTTCACCAAATTGTGTTCAGCGTTCGCACATCGTACACTCACCGTACAAAAAGTTACATGTAATTTAAAGATGCGATATCATAATTCAGGTGTTTGGCACACATTTAATTATAAATTACGATTAGCAAAACTTAAGGAATAACAAATAATTATAATTTTTAACTACATAACGCATGAATTTGAAAGGACTTTTTTTTAGATGCTTTCGTCAGTTTCACTTGTACACCATTCGATACATTGAAAATCAATTCAACACCCTTTTCTTCCTCTTCTGCTTTTGTTTTCACGTCATAGCTAAAGAAAAGTAAATGCCTAATGACCCGCTGTTCAATAACTTTGAATTTCACGGGATCGAAACTCCGAGATCGGAGAAATCAAGGAAATCAATTAAACATGTAAATCTACGTCGAATGTACAGTTAAATTTTGGAAAATTTTTCAATGGTCTCCATAATGTCACTGTCTACATGCAGAGTGTACATGTATCGGTCGCCGCATAAAAAGCAATGATTCATCCACAAACCCAATACTGTCTTTGAATATACAACCCGGGGTCCACTTCGGGTTCGCTCTGGTGTTTGTTCGTGTTCGATCGGTACTGCATATTCTGGCGTCTGGTTAAAATTTATGGCTTTTAGTTTGTACGCCCTATGCCAGTAAAGACTAATGAATCGTTATAAAGCCAAGAAATTCTCAAATATAATTAATATTGCCAAATCCATGTACTGTATGTCATATATTTGAATATTTATTATGAACTGTTAATGTTTAACTACTATAAATGAAATCTAGATTTATTAGATATACAAAAGGTTACATGTAATTTAAAGATGCGATATCATGAATCAGGTGTTTGGCAAACATTTAAATTACGATTAACAAAACTTAAGGAATAACGAATAATTATAATTTTTAACTATATTACGCATGCATTTAAAAGGTATTTTGTTTAGATGCTTTCGTCAGTTAAACTTGTACACCATTCGATCAGTGAAAATCAATTCAACACCCTTTTCTTTCTCTTCTGCTTTTGTTTTCATGTCATAGCTAAAGAAAAGTAAATGCCTAATGACCCGCTGTTCAATAACTTTGAATTTCACGGGATCGAAACTCCGAGATCGGAGAAATCAAGGAAATCAATTAAACATGTAAATCTACGTCGAATGTACAGTTAAATTTTGGAAAATTTTTCAATGGTCTCCATAATGTCACTGTCTACATGCAGAGTGTACATGTATCGGTCGCCGCATAAAAAGCAATGATTCATCCACAAACCCAATACTGTCTTTGAATATACAAGGGGCGGGGCTTACTGGCGGCGAGATTAAAGCGGGGTCCGCTTCACGCATCAGTGCGTAAAGCGGTCCCAGAAAGCGAACGCCGGGTTCGCTCTAGCAGACCCACAGCTGACCCCGAGCCAACGCGGAGCGAACCTGGAGCGCAACCAGAGCGGTCCCACAATTCTTGAAAGCATACCCGAAGCGGACCAAGAGCGAACCCGGGGTCCGCTTCGGGTTCGCTCTGGTGTTTGTTTGTGTTCGATCGGTACTGCATATTCTGGCGTCTGGTTAAAATTTATGGCTTTTAGTTTGTACGCCCTATGCCAGTAAAGACTAATGGATCGTTATAAAGCCAAGGAATTCTCAAATATAATTAATATTGCCTAATCCATGTACGTGTAGGTCATTTTACTGTTTAGGTCTGTTGCTTAAGACGACAAGCTTTTATAAACAGCTCTGTTTCACCGCTTAGAGAATTCTACACAGGAGACCACTCTTAAACACAATTTTATAAAAGGAAGAAAACATGTTTTATCCTTTTTTCTCCGGAAAACCCTGACCTGTTAATGTCCTTAAGCAAAAAGTCTTTAAATACTTCATTAAAAAGGAACACAAAAGCAAGGAGATAACGATAATTGATCAATATTATCAGCACTAAAAAAATATCAGCATTAAGAAGAACTCATTAATGCAGAGTTTATTATTTACAAACAAATTGTTAAATTCACATTTAATTCAAAAATTGTGTGTCCATATCGAAACATCGTCGCCAATTTTGACAAAATCGACTGAAACGAAGGCAGGAAAGGAAAGTAATAAAAAACACAGAGATACAGTTGTTTGGCCAGTTCCGAATAAGAAACCGATTCGGCTGAGCTATAAATATACTAGACATTATTTCAAAATTTAAGTGTTTTGTCAAGGTAGTTCGATGACTTATGGAATTAAATATTGTTTCATAAAAATTCATCCTGCCTTCAAAAAAATTTATTTCGCAAGTTACCATAGGTGTCATTTTTACCAGTTACGAATAAGCCGACGAGTTCCGGATAGCCCAGAGATTCTTATTCAATTTAACCCTAAATTAAAAAATATACGTCCCAGATGTTATCCATTGGCATGCCTAAGAAAAGTTAAATTAATTTCTTACCAATACATCATTTGTATTTTCAAAGGTTGAAGAGAAACTAGAGGTACTGTGGGCAGTGAGCTCATTTTAATGATACCCCACACCTCCTTTATGATTATTTATGACAAATTCCATGTTTTGCTCTGGGAAACCCGAAATTAGTGTTAGATCAAAAAGTAAAATAAAAGTTCATTATGTCACAATGTAATCAAGAATCTGTGAAAGTATCATTAAATCTTATTCAGTGGTATAGGAGGAATTGCGGATTAGAGATGGATAAACCTTTCAATATTACAAAGAGTAGCAGTATCCATGTTTTTCTCAGGGAGCCCAAATTATGTGCCTGATCCAAAAATAAAATAGTTTTACTTTGGCACTGTAAAACAAAGATTCTGTGAAAGACTCATTAAATTCTGTGAAGCTTCATTAAACTTCATTCAGTGGTAGAAGAGGGGTTGCGGATAAGAAATGGATATCCTAGAGCATATCAGACGGACGGACGTACAGCTTGACGCACGGACGGACATAAAGACGGATTGATGGACAAACATCCCTTTACTATCTACCCCTTCTTCCTGTTTAACAAGCGGGGGTATAATAAATCAGGTTTACAATGAAGAAAATAACGAAGAGTGAATTTATAATAGTGTTAAAAATGGGTATCCGGAACTGGTAAAATAAGAAGACGAAAATATTTTAGTATCTTACAGTGTTCTAAATATTTATTTTTGACAAGTTTTTAGTATATGTTAGAGTACATATCAAACTTACTTTTGATACCTGGAACGTGGTTTTATGTGAAAAATTTATGAATCTACAGAGGTTTTTCTGCAGACTTGCGCGTCGCGGTGATTCACGTTTGTTGCGTTGTAAAAGTATGTCGACTGCTTCGAGTACGACAACGAAACCAAACCGAGGGTAAAAAAATCAAAACTTCGCATAATTGAAACACTAATAAATAAGCCTTCTTACCATAGAAACAATCTATTTTTACACCGTTGAATTTATTAATTATCAGTCCTTACATTACTAATTATTCGGAACTGGCCAAAATCCGGAACTGGCCAAACGACTGTACATATAGAAGTGAAATAAACCTTTAATATAAATTAGCGTAACTACATCCTGTTTTGGATAGCGCTCGTTCTCTGTGTTTGCTGTGATCTCGAATATTTAAGGAATCACTGTCTAGTTAGGAGGGTATGCCAGGGCATCAACAATAGTGGGAAACATGGGATAATTTGCATAACGGGCTTCGCCCGTTATGCTATAATTATCCCATGTTTCCCACTATTGTTGATGTCCCTGGCATACCCTCCTAACTAAGCAGTGATTACTTATATTTCCATTTCATTGTGAAAGAAAATTGTAGATTTAGACTTTTTTAAAAATGCAGACATAGGTTTAAATTACACGAGGAGTCCCATCCCGATTTTAATAGGCCTCGCCGACTGACGTCAAACACAACGGCAATAGCACGAAATTTTCATGCATATTTGGCCTCCTTAGCGTCAGACTCAGAGACAGATCCGCACGAGATCTGCATGCATACAAGGCCTCCTTAGCTTCTGACCTATCGACCTGCCTAATTTACATTCCGGCAGAATTATCAGGAAATCAACTCCGCTTACTTTCAAAGGGTTATCATAGAGAAAAAATTTAGAAAGGGAAATATTTGTGTTTATATTGTTTTTTGGGGGGACCGCCGCAGTACAGTTAAGGCAACATTTTCTATAAAAAGTCACGGAATCCGATACATATAATGTTTAACAGTTTTATTTTTTAGCAAGACACTCTAGTTAAAACAGCTTTTTGTGATCTTGAAGAGTATGTCCATCGCTTTTCACATCGGTATTTTTTGACATCATGTGACCCCCTGAAGTCACGTGGGCTCCGATTTTAGGTCAAAAAATGAAATGTCAAATTTAACCAAAAAGTGCAAGGGCAAGACAAACAAAAAATTAACTGCACAATGTTTTATGTTGTCTCTATGTATCTATACTTTCTCAAAAGTGATGCTCATTCAGTTAGTTTTCCGCTATAATTAAGTTATTCAGCTAAAACAGACAGTAATGTATGAAAAATAGGATATTTTCCTAATTTCATCACGAATTATAAATTAACTAAAGGATAACAAAAAAATGAGCATCACTTTTTGAAAACTATACAATAAAATAAATAATTTAAAATAAAAACCTACTTTTTAGATTGTCGCCTTGCCCTTGCACTTTTTGATTAAAAAATGAAATCTTGGAAGAGTCAATCTTATTATAGTTTTCAAACGCATCACTGACCCAGCATGGGAGATAACTCTGGAGTACTTGATATAGTTTGTTTATCTCGTAAATTTAAAATAAATATTCATGCGGGCAGGACTTGACTTTTTTTTTTACTAAATCAAACGGTATGCATAAAAATCCTTGACAGTTCTTTCTTTTCTGTGTATTCGTTCTCCATACGTTGTATACATTTAATGTCTTTCAAAACTCCCGCATTTCCTCAACGATGTGTATATACACGTAGTATTACAAACAAATAGGTATAAATATTGCCGATATATTTATGTAGAACACATATGGTTAATTAAAATATAGACTTCATTAATAATTAATTAGATATCTATTACCCTCTCTCACTATTGTACGCATAGGCCTCGGAACCGGGGAGGGGGGGGGGGAGGCTTAGCCTCCCAACTTATTTGCAAACTATATACACTGTACATAATATAGGCATTGGAATTTGCTTTTTTCTTTTGGCTTCCGCCCCCCCTTTCAATCAGCCCCCTTTCATTTTGCTTCCGACGCCTATGGTACACACACTTGTGTTAATATTATTTCTTTCTGCATACGAGGTCATGTTCTACGATCGCTTTCAATCAGACCGCTTACTGTTCATTAAGGGATATAAACTAAGTTATAAGTTTAAGGTACTAATTAGAAAGAAATGGGGTATACTCCTGTATTTGTTAAGGGGACAGCTATTTTATTTTGAGGGTGAGGGACTGGCAGATTTTAAAAATAAATACTTGCAGATCAGTGATCTCCCCCTCCCACGAATCAGAGTTTTTTTTTTACATTTTTTTTGCATGTAGTATTTTTAATGAAGAGGAAAATAAATAAATAATCTGTCCTTCATCTTATTGATTGGAAATAAATATTAATCTGTCCTTCATTGACATGAAAATGAAAAAAAAAAATCTGACTTGGAAAAACTCGCCTCCTCCCCCCCCCCCTTCCCTCAGAACAAATGGTGGTCCCCTATCCTATTTTGAATCAATTAGGGGGATCTCTAGTCTCCTTTTTTTGGTAATATTATGAAAGATAAATGAGCACAATGCACATGCTGGAAATAAGATCTTGATGATCATTAGTACCCTCCACACAAAATAGTAAGAAAGTTAAGATTTTCATATCTTAATGGCCTTTTCAACACCTGTACAGTAAATATATGAAAAAGTCAAATTATTATTCATCTAGAAAATTTATTTAATAAACATTTCTTTTCAAATCCAGTGACAGACTGTAGGAATGCTGGCCAGGTGCAAATTATTTCTATCACCTCATGTTCTTGTGGATAAAATGAATTCTGAAAATAGGAGAAAATCAGGAAATACCATTATTGAAAGTAATTTGTGTTTAAAAAATGAAAAAAAAATGCATGGAAACATTTAACATAGAATTAACATACATGTGTAACGTGAAGCGGTCACCCATCCAAAGGTTACACAGGCTCGCCGTTGCTTAACTTGCCTGAAATAGAGGGAGACTCTACCGCATCACCAGAAAAGCTAGCTCACTGGCGAGGCAGTATAAGTTCCCTATATACTGTCCGCTACACATGTTTTCAATTCTTCTGTTAGTTTTATTATCAAAACTTGGTATGGTTTATAGCTTATATTGAGCATACCATTTTCCTTAAATGATGGATTAACTTGCTGCCTGATTGAATCCATTTGTCCAACATCTGGGAATAGCTAGGCCTACAACACAATATATATGCAGTTATATGCTATGAGATTACTATATACATTGTAGGATAAAATGGCATTACATTTGACAAAACAAATAATGCTACATTGTTTATTGTAGTGAATTTATGTTATTGATATAAATGAAAAAAAATGTGTTACAAAACTTCTCTGGGAAAGTGAAACCTCTGACATTTACAATAGTTATTGATAGAATATTTTCTATAAAAAAAATTCTAAGTTTCTTCTTTACCAAAATGAAAAAAAAAACAATATGTAATTTAAAAGCACATGCAAACTTTGAAAATGTGAAATGCTTTAGAAGTATACATACCCTGTGGAGAAATGATGCATTTTTTATTTATTCACTCTTTAAGCCTGAAACTCTGGACAGCTACAATGATAAAAGTATTATATAAATATTTTTAATGTACATGTAATCTAAACAAAAAATGATTTTTTTTCATTAATTTAGAAATTCTAGAAAATTACAACCATAGATCTGAAGTGGGGCTTTTATGTTTTCAACACAATGTTACGGATATTTTTTTTTAAATTGTGTAGCATATTTGTATGTCAAAATACATCATTGTTTGATTAGGCCTAGTCACTAGTGAATCATTGACTGAAACAGTGAAAACATCTCATTCAATTTAGTTTAAATTTGTGTTACTGATGATCTCCATTATTACAAATATTGTCTCAAAAAAAATGAGCTAATTGACAGGAACTCAGTACATATTTAGTGCAATAAATTCTTAATAATTCTAAAAAGTGTGCAACTTATTAGGGGGGGGGGGTTGTTATGCACAAGGCACTGCATAATTACAGTTTTTCACTGACTGTACCAATACATTTAAATGAACATGAACACACTCGGTTTTTTTATGTTAACAAAAGCATGTCTACATATTGTAGATCTACACATGTACCTACATATGCGTACATACCTGGCCTGGAATTACAGTGCAGTGATTGATCTAGGCTAGAGCTGGTGCAAATCGTCTCAGTTTTCTGCTATTTTCCAAAATAATGTCCTCATATTCTTGTAAAATGGAGAAGCAATGCCTTGTCTCTTATTTTATCCCTATTTTCTGTAAGGATTGTGTGGTTATTGCATTTAAATCCACTGCAAATCTCAGCTGATGTCGCCACGTTTTTAGATGTAAACAACATTCCGTGTCACCGAGTGCAAGCGCTTGTCTGAAGCCGAATGCAGACAAACGACACATTAAAAAGAGAACTATTTTAAAGACATGCTATTTTATAAACGAGAAAATCACTAATTATTTTCTATTTAAACATGAAGATATTGTTGTTTATTATAAATTGTTGCCAATATCGGTAAATAGTTATTTTGAGCACCATTTCCTTATATGGATCAATCAGGGCGGAGCAACTGTCATCACGTCAGACCTCATTATGACTTCATTACCATATTTTTTTCATGTGTTGCCTTAACTGTACTGCGCGCGTTATATATCGCTTTTATCATCATCCTTCCAAGCCGGGGGAAAATTCTTTTATACTTCAATTTCTTAGTTTTTTTTCTCTGTGATAATTCTTTGAAAGTTAGTGGAGTTGATTTCTTGATAATTCTACCGGAATGGAAATTAGGCAGGTCGATAGGTCAGGAGAAAAGGAGGCCTAATATGCATGCATATCTCGTATGCATCTGTCTCTGTGTCTGACCCTATGGAGGCCAAATATAAAGATATATCTCGTGCGGCTACCACTGAGTTTGATGACAGTGGGCGAGGACTGTTGGAATTGGCATGGGAGTCCTCATGTAATTATGTCGCCCCGAACGAAGTCGGGGATGACATTGCAATTGTACGCATGTTTTTTTTTTTGTCCAGGTGGTTTCTCGAAGATGGCTTGGACAATCTTCGTGAAACTCTCCTCAAAGGACGATCACAGGTTATACCCTAACAATAAAATACTACAGTTTACTATTATAGTTTACTATAGTTTACTATAGTTAACTATAGTTATAACTTTGACACTTTGACACTTTGAAAAACTTTGGTGAAAACTTTGACACTTTGAAAAACTTTGGAAAAACTTTGAAACGTTGAAAAAATTTGGCGAAAACTGTGACACTTTGAAAAAGTTTGGCGAAAGCTTTGACACTTTGAAAAACTCTAGCGAAAACTTTGACACATTGAAAAACTTTGACGAAAACTTTCACGCTTTGAAAAAATTTGGAGAAAACTTTCACACTTTGAAAAACTTTATTGAAAGCTTTGACACTTTGAAAAAGTTTATCGAAAACTTTGACATTTTAAAAACTTTATCGAAAACTTTGACACTTTGAAAAACTTTGGCGAAAAATTTGACACTTTGAAAAACTTTATCGAAAACTTGGATACTTTAACACTTTGAAAAACTTTATCAAAAACTTTGATACTTGTAAAAGTTTATCGAAAATTTTGACACTTTGAAAAACTTTATCAAAAATTTGAATACTTTAACACTTTGAAAAACTTTATCGAAAACTTTGATACTTGAAAGAGTTTACTTGAAAGAGTTTATTGAAAACTTTGACACTTTATAAAACTCTATTGAAAACTTTTGCACTTTTAAAAACTTAATCGAAATCTTTGACACTTTGAAAAAACTTTATCGAAAACTTTGACACTTTAAAAAAGTTTGGCGAAAAATTTGACATTTTTAAAAACTTTGGCGAAAAATTTGACACTTTGAAAAACTTTGGCGAAAACTTTGACATTTTGAAAAACTTTGGTGAAAACTTTGACATTTTGAAAAAACTTTGACGAAAACTCTGACACTTTAAAAAGTTTTGGCGAAAACTTTGACACTTTGAAAAACTTTGGCGAAAACTTTGACACTTTGAAAAATTTTGGTGAAAACTTTAACACTTTGAAAAACTTTGGTTAAAACTTTGACATTTTGAAAAAACTTTGACGAAAACTCTGACACTTTAAAAAGTTTTGGCGAAAATTTTGACACTTTTAAAAACTTTGGCAAAAACTTTTACACTTTGATTTACTATAGATAAATATAGTAAACTATACTTAACTATAGTTAACTATAAAATTTCTAGTTTATATCTATGTTTACATTTTAAAAGTTTAAATCTAAAATTTTATTTCACAATAAAATGGATATAAGGAATAATTGTCTAGTTAGTATAGTTTTCCAGGGACATCAACGATAGTGAGAATCATTGGATGATTTATGCATAACGGGCTTTGCAATGTTTTCCACTATCGTTGATGCCCTGACATTCTTTCCTAACTAGACAGTCAGTAATTCCTTAAATATATGCAATTAAATGAGTTTATCGTTATATCATTATAATCATATAAGAATTATCTACTTTGTTAAAAGGGTGCTAGTTTTTTTGTTTTCTTTAAAAAAAAAAGAGTTTATTGACGTTATCCTTTTATTCATTTCAGATGACCTTGCGACAAGGTTTTCCAATCTTTCCAGTAACCAGCTGTCCCAGAAACCTTTCTGAAGTTGAGAGAGCCACGCTCAGACTTAATTGTTCTGAAATAACAGAGTTCATAAATGTGTATCACTGTTTACCCCTTGCAAATCTTTCTATGTTGGTAGAATTTTGCTATGAAAGAACGAGTGGTTTGATTGAAGAAGGTAAAATACTCCTAAAATTCTTATTTTTTTTGTGACGTTAAGTATCGTCAATGATACATATGTACAGTATTACATACGAACAGTTGTTTACAAATTATGTACTATGTGTGCATAACTTTTTTTGCAAAAAAATAAACAAAATAATAATAATTAAATGGTGGCGAAAAAACTTTTCTCACGGACGAGAATAGATGTTTGTTCATGAATGTATCACCGGGAAAAATAAGTGTCATTTTTTCCGGCAACAATAAAACATAAAAATGTTAACGATGGAATATTATTTCATTATAAACTTAGGTTGGTAGGGTGAATTCTGGGAATCCAAAAATAACAACCGAACAATCTGAAGCCTAGGATCTGACTGCTCAACAATAATGAATGTAATATATATTTTACACAATGTGAGCCCGAATGAAAGAGGCTTACGATAAAATAACTCATGAGTAAAATTCCTCAATGACAAATTGACGTATTTTTGGTTACATATTAATTTGAATAATTAATATTGTTTGAATCAATGTTCAGTGTACTTACAATTAGTTATGTTTATGTTTCAAAGTCGCTAAAACATGTCGCTTAAATAGTTTTTATCAAAATCACATCTTGATAATTCCTTCTTTATTCGAAAAATGATACGTCCCCGTCTCTGAAATTACCGGGAATTTCAATTCAGAACACTGCTTTGCCAGTACCAGTTACACATTAACGCTTGGGTTTTGTTGGTAGCGGAAGAAAATGTCTTTTTGGTAACACGCTTAGCACTTAGCTGCTTTGAATTCTCCTTTTCCGTTGTTCCTTTGGTTTTGGTTGCTTTGTAATTTTGAAATTCGATTATGGAGGGTGGATTTTACTGCATGAAGATTTTCACATTTTGTCATTTGTTCACTTATTTTTGTCTTTAAGATCTTATTTTCATTCTAAAATGCAGTGAGTTAAATGGTATGACCTGTTGATTTGAATAAATTACAAATATCTTCATAACCTAGGTCTTGGAATGGAAAAGATTTCATCAAATGAAATCTATCGATAAATTCAATCATTCTTCTCGAATACCTGTGATGTTTGCTCACAGATCAAGTCTATGGATAAAGTATGCATTTCCTTTGTGTCTCCGCAACAACAAAACTCATCGGACTATATTTGATAACAATCCGAGAAAAAACACATACCTGCAGAAGAATCACATGTTACTGACTTGTTGTAAGACGATCCGACAGTTTTTTCCCAGGTTTGTCTTTAAGCAGCACGTCCAGAAGCCTTTAAATTGAATATTTTTTATCGTTGGATGATTAATGGACGCCACTGGAAATATTTTCCTTTGGGAGGAACGATAAGGTATGGTTTTAAAAGATTAATTGATTGCATACTGTTTAACGCCCCTCTCGAGAATTTTTCACTCGTATGGAGACGCCACCACTTGCGGATGGAAAGCTGCAAATTTTTTCCCATACTCAGGGTCATTGAGCAGGGAGAGATTTTTCGTGCCAAAACTTAATGCAACATGGAACCTCGTTTTATATGGTCTCATTCGATAAACCGACCTCCACGTCCAACAGTAGGATTCTAACCGCAACGTAGGGATTGACTTCTTACTTCGCGAGTCTAGTGCAGACACTCTAATCACTACGGGCGATGGTTGCAGAAGAGAAACATACTTGCGTATTGTAACCTAGTTTTCCGCACATGAAACACACGGAACGTGTAGCTGAACACGTGAATAGGTGGCCATGGAAGAAGATTTTCCCAAACTTATAGCACCGTGGACTGGATCCCAGTATTGAGAAAATTCGTGCTGGTCCTGCTGTGATCTAAGGACGCAAAAGACAATGGCGCTGGTTAGATGTTTGGGAGGAGCGGTAAAGCCCTTTTTCTCCAGGTTGAATGGTATTGTTGAAATAAATCGTCTTGGGGGAACTCGTTAGTTGATGGTACTCAGGATCAAACAGCTTCAAAATATAAACAGCAGTCCCGGGTGTTATACCTTTAGGATATTTCCAAGAAATTATCATCTGGAAAGTTTAAACCTTCCCGGCAACAAAGAAACATAAAAATGCTAACGATGGAGTAGGACTTCATTATATACTTAAGTTGCTAGGTGGTGAGCATCCCCTGCTGACAGGTCATATCCGCCGTGTGCTCCTTGTCAGTATGAGGAAATAACGGAAAAATCCGTAGTCAATTCAGTGTATAGATAATGGACTAACAACTACAGTCAATTCTCGAATTATCGCCATTCGATTCATCGCCATTTTCGCAATACCGCCATGATTTCCCAAGAACGTTTTTCCTGCTATATAAAATTCTCTTTATACCGCCAAATTCGCATACCGCCATCCGCCACCCTGTTTTCACAACAAACGTCCATTTTTACGTGTCAATTATCTCGATAATACCGCCACAGGTGCATGTGCTCAGTGAAGCGCGGCTAATTGGTTGACACTAATCCTATCCCTTTTGTGTAGCATGCAAAGCCAGTCGAGGTACATGCAATTATGTAAACAATAATTTAAACATGAACTGTTAGAATAATTTTGTTTTTTGTTTAATAAAAGCATTTAGTCATAGTCTCGTTCAACCAGACCCTCGGCTGTCTCCGTAAATCTCCGACCACCCAGAGGGTCTGGTAAAGATACGCATTATCGTTTGTAACGCCAAAACGAGGTTTACCAAAATTCTGGTAAAGTTTTTGATTGGCTGAAAAGAACACACCTACACGATTTAAATAAATACATGATAAATCAGCAGAAAAATAACTTAAAGATGTGAAAATTATGTGTCTAAAAGTTAAAGATGCTAGATAGGAATTATTTA